CCAACACTCGGTGACGTTCTCGTGACCACCGCGATCTTCTCCTCGTGTGACCTTTAGGATATTGTTAAAAACCGTGATGGCCTCCTCCTGACATGCTTCAAACACTTTCAGCAGTAGACCATCCGATTTGCATATACTCTACTCCCACCCCTCCCCCTCCCCCACGAGTGACAGTTTTTCTCCTTGAAATCCCTCAAAGGGCAGTAAAACCCCTAGAATTCTGAACAATGTCTAAGGAGTTTTTTACTGTCTGCCCTTTTTACGCAGTTTCATTACTGGAAACGTCCCATATTCTGCATTTCATAGTTGCTCTGTACCAAGAGGGAGTTCAAAGGTATTTACCTATAGTTCCCTTAATAAACCTGACCTTACCTGACCCTGGATCTATACTGTAAGCAAATGAGCAGTTCAACCTCACTGCAACACCCCCTGTCGGTCACAGTTTATTATAGGTACCACCACGAAAACCAAAACACCAGAATTCTATAATAAGGGACCGATGATAATGGGGGTTATAGGGGCGAGGCATTACGGGGTGCAGGAGAGAAAAGGGTTGCAGTTAACGTCGGGGTTATGGTTAATTCTTCTCGCAGCATAAAATCTTGGGCAATATGGCCATCGTTAACTAATAACCACGGGTACCCGTTTTTCCTCCGTTTACGCGCTATTAATTTGCATATTTTGAATTACGCACTCTGTTCTAGCGCCTCGTTGGAGTACTAAAGTAAAGGTGCGGTACAAAGATACGTTCCCTCAATGCCTTTCACACATTAATTTAATTACCACCTCCATCTCCCTACTCGCAAAACTCTTTTGATATCTCTCCCGTATGCCAGGAGTACCTTCGCTCTGTATTCCCAGCGGTGCTGCATATTCAATCCTCGTCGAAAAGGGAAGGAGGACGAGGCTTAATGGTAGAGCGTCAGACTGAAGGCTCAATAGCCAAGCAATCCGGAGTTGAGCCTTTCGGTTATCAAAACCTGGGACTGATGCAAGGATACATGATGACGGATAAAGCAATAGAAGTAAATACCCTAGCCCCTTGTTTTTGAAGGCATTCTGTCTATATCACTATCTCCTTTCACCCGGATTCAAAATGAAAATTTCAAAGGCCACCTCTTCCCTTTCAGTCAAACATGGCACAGGTAGTCCTATGTGGTTTGTGATTTCCATCGAACTAACTACTTAATGCACAGCTGGAGAGTAAGACGCGCTGCAAATTCTTGAGCAAAAAGTATGAGTGACTTCAACTAATAAAGCGATTCGTCGGCAAGCAGTAAAGGATAAAAACAGCACACATGTTCCGATGGAAATGACTAATGGGATATGAAATAC